CCGCCCCCCCCCCCGCCATCTTCTTATTTGCCAGCAGCTCTGCCATTGTTCATCATTCGCATTGTTAGAATGGGGCGCCCGTGTGGAATTTTTGATCCAGATTCTGCTCTCAGATAAACCAGTGTAAATCCTCCGTCACTGATGTCAGCGGAGTTACTCCAGATTTATGCTAGTGGCTCTGAGCTCGGAACAGGACCGAACTGAATTGTGCTTGTGTCTGAATGAGAAGGAAATCATTAGCTAAGTAAGTAAGATTCAGAAACATGAACATACAGATAGTACATGAGTTATTACTGCTTCGTTGTTGTGGTGGTGTGTGTGTGCGTGTGTGAGAGAAATAATTCTCTATTCAGAAGGGAAGAAGAAGAAAGGGGAAAACACTAAACAAGAGTAACCTGTTTTAAAATGTGCATCCATTCTAATATGTCGGAGCATAGGGGATGAAACAGATAGTTGTCTGGGCAGGGTTTGATTGCCATTAGGAGTATTATTGTCCAGTAATCAGAATGCTGTTCAGTATTCAGATGAGGCTGACACTTTATTACTACCCGAATCAATAGCTTTTCCATGTCCTTCAGATATTTAGGAAGCTCAAGGGAACAGAATATGAATAGTATTGTAAGAGCTGTCCAGTCGAGATAGTTTGCTCTCCAGAATTCGATCACAGGAAGACTTTAAGCAAGGGTCCAGTACCTGGGCTATCAGGTTGCATCCAATAATGGTCAGCCAAAAAGAACATTCCTTCATGCCTATTTAGTAACAAACACGTTTAAAGAAAATTGAGAAAATAACCTGAACATCAATACTAATTGAGGGGAGGGTTAAAATATTAATTGCCCATCAAATTTTAGTCTAAAGTCAATGTGCCAACATCACTGTATTCCTCTCCATGGGACATTATACTGGAGGACCCTTACTTTTACTTGTGAGAGTGATACTATTGTGATGGGGAAAGTACAAGTGGGTTGCGTCATGTACTTCCATTGTACTCAATACCAAAAGGCTCATCGACTTAAATGGGAGTAGAATGCCCCCCCTAACGTTCTCAGAATGTAGCCAAGTATTAATCTTATTTTTCCATAAGGTGCTTGTTTAAAGAGTGCTTAAACCTGATCAAAGCTGCACAGATTCTAAGGCAGAACAGGTAACTCTAAATCAGGGGTAATTTACATTCACTGTTCTATTTGAACAGTCCCACCATCATTTCAGCTGTAAAACTAAAGGCATTAAAAAGTGGATATATTTGAGAAAAATATTTAGACATTTACACCCAATTTCACACCCCAAAAGGAAATTAATAAGACAAAAACTGCACTGTGAGAAGGGGGGTTACTATGAAAAAGAAGAAATGCCTCAGATCCAATGAAGTCCAGTGGGGACTTTGTTATTGCTTTTTATTTTACACAGAAGGCACTCAGATATTACAGTCACCGACAGGACTATAAAATTCTTAACTAGATGGATGGATGTTGAGCATACATTTTCCATGAGATTTAAGTCCTATCAAAGGCTAATCTTTATTAGACCACTACTACTATATTATTAGATAAAGAAACTAACAAATTTACATTTTCCAAATGTCTTTTTCTTACCTTTCAGTTCGTACTGTAGAGAAGTAGTTTTCTGTTTAAAGATTGGCAGGTAAAGAAAACAATAACATTTTAAAAATATGGATTTATTTAAATGACAAATTATTAAAATCAGTTGTTGCCACTTTGTGATCATATTTTGTCAATAATTCTTGAGGAGATTGGTTATGGTTTATACAGAAATATTTTTACCTCGGGAGGCCTAATCCTGCTTTGCTGACCCCAAAGGCAACAGAACAGGATCAGCACCATATTTTCTGCTAGTTTTCTCTAGAATTTTGATTTAATTTTGCAAGGTGCTAAGTGTCCTCACCAAATCTCCCATGGAGTTGACTTTAGTGGGAGCTGAGGCCACTCATCGTATTACAGGAAGTGCTCAGCACCTTGCATGGTTGGGCCCATAATTCACAAAAACAACCACCTGGGTAGGAATAGTTATTTTACACCACACACATTCTAGTTCTTCCTTGCACCTCCTGTTCACCAGACAGGTGTGTGATGTAAAACAGCTTTTCTCTTCTAAGGTACCATTTTGTTTATGTGGTGGGGTTGCACCAAAATGGTGGCTGCGTTTCTCAGACCTACTTCTCCATCCTGCTTTTTGTTAATTCTGTACAATTTTATTGTTGAATGCTAATGGACACTACTGTTAGTAGAGAAACCTCGACAGTATTCATCACCATAAAATTTTGACAGATTTCCATGCCCTTTGTAGAGCTTATGTCCCACGTCTTGTCTCTGTTTCAAAGTTTGGCACCATTGGCCATTTTGAAAGAAAATAAAATGATTAATTTTTATATTTGGCTGGAGGAATGCAGTGTATTTGTGCTTAGAGAGACGTTTAGACTAAAAGTAGGAAAGAGCAGAGGTGGGTTATGGAAGATGTTTGGTTAGGTTTAGCCACTGGCCATTTTTAATAGAAAACATTTATTATTTTTATATTGGAGAGGGGGAATGTGGTGAGTTTGTGCTTTGATACAAGTTTAGAGAAAAAAGTATAAAAGAGAATCCTTAAAGAAAAGAAGGTTTTTTTAAAAACGAAATTTTTGGTTAGGTTTAGAGGAAAAAATGGTTATTTTAAATAGAAGACAGCAGTGTTTGTTTTATATATTAATAATCCCATGGGGATTAAAAAGAATAAAAATATAGAATAGTTTTACAAATAGTGGAAAATTCTGTGTTTAGTTTAGTTTGTTGTAAAAATTAGCAAATCTGTGGTAATGTGGGGATTAAAAAGAATAAAAATATAGAAACAATTTGTATATAACCACAGTGGAATTTGTGAACAGAGACATATTTAGAAACACTTTAAAATATGAAATATAAGGGTAAATGAAGAAAAATAGCAATTTTAAAAAAGTAGAGTTATTTTGAAATTAAAAGAGAAAACATGGCAGAAAAAAGGGAATTTAAAAATATTTTATAAGTGGAGATTGTTTAGTAAGCACATGGTGAAACTTAGGAGAAAAGGATTATTATTTATAATTATATAAAGGTAGGCTAAGAGAAATCTTTAGAAAAGCTTTAAATATTAAACACAAGGATATGTAAAGAAAATAGTTATTTTAAAATATTAAAAGAAAGTATATGAAAGAAAAAAAAGACATTGAATGAGGGGAAAAGACAGTCCTTTGTAAATGACAAAGATAGCACATGACTGAGGGGAAAAAGAGCTAAGTAGGTAAAGGGGAGGGAGGACAGGAGAGAACTAGCTTACCCTCAGGACTGTCCCTGGGGAATGACAGAACTCACAAGGCTCATAGCCCTCTGCCTCTGCCTCTGCTTCTGGGCTGGACCAATCTACAGCTGCATCATAGCATAATTTTTTTCTGAGCCAATCAGAAAGATTTTTGAACAAGAGCTATCTCCCTCTACTCCCCTCACTTTCCTCCCTTTAACTGTCTTATCTAAAAAAACACACACCCCTAATCATTTTCCCCACCATTTAGCACTTTTTTACATATGTGTTTCAATTAAAAATATAGCCTACGCAAACATTCCAAAGTTAAAATCTTTGTAACTAACAGTTTATAAAAGCTTTCCCTCTGTTTCTTAGTAAGGACAATTTGAAGCAACATGCTTTTACAAAGATGTGGTGTTAGCAGTAACAGAGTTTGAGAGCCATTGGATCACAGAGAAGAAGGCTGCTTCTTTTCCCACCTTTTAACAAATTTAAGTGAAAGCTATATTAAATTTTGCAAAGAAATAAACAATTTAAAAACAACCTATCTGAAGATGCATGCCTCTCTCTAACACAGTTACATCCGGGAAAGGGAAATGGGGCAAAATGGGAGTTAAAAATGTAGTGGAATAAGAAGGCAGAGATGGAATAAAGACACTTGAAGACCAACATTTTATATTAATTGAGATCCAAAAGCTTCATGCATAAAACTTGTCAGAGACTAAACTGATCAGAGGTTGTTCTGAGACTTTTCTAGCATGATTAAGACAGTTATTTTAGAGCATATAGCAAGGTAGTCTGGTAAGAAATGATCTGACTTAACTGATTAGGTAATACCTACATTCATAGTTAAAGGATTATATTCAACATGGTATTCTGGTTCCATTAGGTTTTTGTCTGATTGCTTTGTAAAAATAGTGTCTTATGTCCAAACAGCAATTCTGACTCATAGATACAGAATAGACAGGAACTCCCTGTGCTAGGATATTAGGACTTAAGGTAAATCCTGTTAGTCATAGAATCATAGAATATTAGGACTGGAAGGGACCCCGAGAGGTCATCGAGTCCAGTCCCCTGCCCTCATGGCAGGACCCAGTACTGTCTAGACCATCCCTGATAGACATTTATCTAACCTACTCTTAAATATCTCCAGAGATGGAGATTCCACAACCTCCCTAGGCAATTTATTTCAGTGTTTAACCACCTTGACAGTTAGGAACTTTTTCCTAATGTCCAACCTAAACCTCCCTTGCTGCAGTTTAAGCCCATTGCTTCTTGTTCTATCCTCAGAGGCCAGGAAGAACAAGTTTTCTCCCTTCTCCTTGTGACACCCTTTTAGATACCTGAAAATCGCTATCGTGTCCCCCCTCAATCTTCTCTTTTCCAAACTAAACAAGCCCAATTCTTTCAGTCTTCCTTCATAGGTCATGTTCTCTAGACCTTTAATCATTCTTGTAGCTCTTTTCTGAACCTTCTCCAATGTCTCCACATCTTTCTTGAAATGTGGTTCCCAGAACTGGACACAATACTCCAACTGAGGCCTATCCAGCGCAAAGTAGAGAGGAAGAATGACTTCTCATGTCTTGCTCACAACACACCTGTTAATACATCTTACAATCATGTTTGCTTTTTTTTGCAACAGTGTCACACAGTTGACTCATATTTAGCTTATGGTCCACTATAACCCCTAGATCCCTTTCTGCCGTACTCCTTTCTAGACAGTCGCTTCCCATTCTGTATGTGTGAAACTGATTGTTCCTTCCTAAGTGAACAGAATCATAGTGCTGGAAGAGACCTCAGGAGGTCATCAAGTCCAGCCTCCTGCCCAAGGTGGGACCAATCCCAACTAGTCAATGGGAGTCCTTCCATTTGTTGACTACAATGGGTTTTGGACAAGGCATCTTAATTTTTCAAATTCATACTTAATCTCTAGAAAGTATTCTATTGAAAACTAATGCTAACTCTTATTACATCTGTGAACCATTTGTTTTTAATTATAAGCTATACTTGGATGTATTATATGCATTATATCCTACTGAAGAACTACCAATAACCTCCCAAAGGAACCACAATGATAGTTTATTAAAAAACCCTATACTAAGCTCCAATTTTGTAATGAATTGTTTCTATCAGTATACATGTGACTGTATATAATCATTTGACTGGCGCTTTATTTTTCCAGTTGATGAAATCTATATTTTCCCATATATTCCCAGTTAAATAAGTCGAACTACACAATGATTGAAGATAATAAAGAGAACAAAGACAATTCAACTGGAAGAGGTAGAGCAGCTGTCATTTTTTCCTTAAAGAATGAAGTTGGAGGACTTGTAAAAGCACTAAAACTCTTTCAGGTACGTAGTCCTGGCATTTCTATAGATGGTTTTCTGACTGTAAGAGTCATGTTGGCACTCATCACAATTTATTTTCCTTAGTAACAAAGGACCCATAATTCACGGTGAAAGCAAAATTGTGCCTACAAAATTAGAGGCTGCTTTGACAGCCCCTCAAAATCATGACCCCTTCTCCTACTCCCACTGAAGTCCAGGGGTATTTTGCCTTTAATAGGAGAAGGATTGGTACACTTGGCCTTTGTATGGAATGGACCTGAAATAATTGCCCTGATCAGAATACTCCAGATCTGAACTCTAATGAATGAATCAAAACTCCACAACTGCTTTGTTTTAAAGGTTGGGAAATTCAGCTCTGAACTTTGTGGCTTCAGCCTATTTGTAGTGTTTGCTGTGTTTTCCCTGAGTATGCTCCTCTTTGTGACAACTATCCTACATAGGAAGAAAGACTGAATTAATCTTTTCTGAATCACCGGTGTCATTCCTTTATTGATGGAAGAAGTTTATTGCCATTGAGCAAGATGAAATACACACCATCCCAGGCTCTCAGCATACTATTTATACCTGTGGTGCCCAACATGCTAGCCACTATCCACATGTAGCAATTTGGCCAATTGAGTGTGGCCATTTGGCTTGAACAATGTGGCTATTTGGCTGGTTGGGTGTGGCTAGTTCACCATAGCAGTAACTACTATAATAGCTACTGCTTCAGAACTGGTTGGACACCACAGGTCTATACAGTGCGCTAAGCCTTTGAGGAGTAAGTGGGTTAATACTGCTTTAGCAGGTGTCCTTGCATAATATTACTACAACGAGAGCTCTATTTATTCATTTTACAAAACATTTTGTTAAGTAACATTCTTTCAGATAAAACAAAAGTTAAAGATACTATTAGGAAATTATAATTTTAACATCTCTTTTTATTTGTAAGAGTAATAAAGATTTGTTGACTTGATTGGCAAACAGTGATTTATACGACTCATCTGTCAATCAAACTCTACTAACTAATTAACTTGAAGATTTTACTCTTTTATTACCTAATAGAGAGTTTGCTAGATAAGGACTATGAGCTTTAGTTCACTTTATTACCAAAAGTCAATTTCTAGTAGTGAAACAAACAAATTATGAGTTAAGGTGGGACTGTATCGGGGATCAACATTGAGCCCTTTTTTATTAATCCTGAAGACAAATAAGACATTAAGATCAGAATTTAGCAAGCTGACCAATAAACATAAATGAACTATTCTAGTTTCTGGTTCTAAACAGAGCAGTTTCTGTTTCGTTAACTGCAGTGGTTAGAAGTGCACAGTGAAATGAAACTCAGAGTGGAATCTCCTTGAGTCAGATAAAAAATAACCTTACCTCAGCTCTATAATTTGGCTCTGAACATACTTTTCATGTTGTTGTGGCCTACATGAGTTTAGATGCCAACATACTCCACTGGGAATGACAGAAACGGTATAAACCTTTAATTCCCGTGGCATACACCAATGGAACCAGCAAGCCCAACATCAAACCAATAGTTTGCAGCATTATTAAGTTGACACAGTTATCTTTGGGAGGTTAATTTCTTATGTTTTGTATGCAGGTCCTGAAATTACTACTGTTAGAACCATGACATAGCATTCCTATTGCCTTCAATGGGTTTGATGTTAGTCCTCTCAATAGTCCAGTTTAATCAAAATCCAAAAGGGTAATGTGAGGTGATAGGCTAAGGTTAATACATTTTGACAGATATTCATGTTTTTTTCTAGAGAATTATGATTTTCACATGGTAAATGCACATTTACATGCCTGGATTTAACATGATGTTAATTGAATTAATTCTTTTTCCACTCCTTTAAAGAAATTGGAAAGGTAATGAAGTGCTGGCACTTGATACCCTATTGGCCAAGTCAGGATCACCTGTCAGAGGCTCCAAGATTTATCAGTAGATCCTGATCTACTGGTTGCTGTCCATTGTACTAGAGAGACATGGGCTCAAAATAACCAAAGGAAAAATAAGAGTATGCAGTATGAAATTTCAGTAATATGAACACCAAAGAGAAGACAGTACTGAAAATTCAAAGTTTCAAGTTGCTGTGTTCCAGAATCCAGGGAAACAGGGAAATTGTTAACAAAATTGAAGCTAGGATAATAAATGCTTATCTCAAATGGAGAGAGAGATAAGTGGTGTAGTACGTGACAGGAAGAAACTAGTATGACCGAAAGATAAAGTATATATAAATATAGTGGTCCAGCCAGATTTAATGTATGGCACTGATCACCAAAGGAGAAACATGAGCAAATGGTGTGTTCTACAGAAATGTGAATGTGGAGATGGTTGAGAGAGACCACATGAGGAATGTGTATGTTAGAGACATGCTCAGAGTAACACTCCATAAATGAAAAAGTGAGAGAGTGCAGGCTCAGACAGTTTGATCATATAAAGAAAAAATCCTGACAACTACATGGGGAAGAGAGTTCAACATATGAAAGATAAAGGAAAAAAAGACAGAGAAGCTGACTGAAGAAATGGTTGGAAGGAAGCAAAAGAAAGGAGGGCATTTTAACATGGAAGGTGATTGAGAGAGCATACTGATAGAGAGGACCCTGTGGGTGTGTCTAGACTACATGCCTCCTTCGACGGAGGCATGTAGATTAGCCAGAGCGGAAGAGGGAAATGAAGCCGCGATTAAAATAATCGCGGCTTCATTTAAATTTAAAGGGCTGCCCCGATCTGCCGACAAACAGCTGATCGGCAGATCGGGGCAGCCCTTTTAATTTAAATGAAGCCGCGATTAAAATAATCGCGGCTTCATTTAAATTTAAAGGGCTGCCCCGATCTGCCGACAAACAGCTGATCGGCAGATCGGGGCAGCCCTTTTAATTTAAATGAAGCCGCGATTAAAATAATCGCGGCTTCATTTCCCTCTTCCGCTCTGGCTAATCTACATGCCTCCGTCGAAGGAGGCATGTAGTCTAGACACACCCCATGTGATGGGATTAATGCAAGAAGAGGAAGACATTTCTACAGTATTTACTAGATTAAAGTTGAGGATATAAAAGCACCCCTCTTTCATTTTCTGTGACACTGGAAAGAGATTTTTAACCATTCCTTATCCTTTTTTAATACAAGCTGCTATTCATAGATATGTTTTCATAAAGAGACTTCTCAGAGCTACTGTTATACAGTAGACTACTGGCTTGGCAAGAGGTAAAGATTATCTAACCAACCTATCTTAAAACACTTTTTCTCATAAACAGGAGAAACATGTGAATCTGATGCACATTGAGTCCCGAAAGTCAAGGCGAAGAAATTCAGAGTTTGAGATCTTTGTGGACTGCGATAGCAATGTGGAACAACTGAATGAGATCTTCCATCTGCTGAAATCCCACGTCAATATTGTATCTGAGAACCCCACAGATAATATCACTATGCAGGAGGATGGTACGTATGGAGGGATATTCTAGCAAAACTGCATCAAGGGAAGAGGATATTGTTCTACTTTCTAATGAGTTCGTTTTCAGTCCCTTTATGGCAGATATTTGGAAACAGAGATAAATGAAATGGGTAAAATGGGGTAAAATGAAAGGAATGTTTCATGGAAGCCTGTCAGACGAGATGCTTAGATGATATGAGTTGGCATACCTTCACTGAAATCAATGACCAGCTCAGGATATGGTCAATGATTTCTGTCAGTGCATGTTATCCCTTCCTATATTTCACACCCTTTGTCCTCCCCTATTTTTTCTCATGTTGCATTGGTTAAAATGATGGTGTGAAGTTCAGGGCAAATGGAGTATAAGACCCATAGTTTTATACCCACGTTGCTCAGCTGTAAAGGTGCAGGGGAATGAAGAATAATGCTTGTAGCTTCCTTGGATAATGCCCATTTACTCTGGCTTTTTACAGAGGCGTGGTGGGGGGGAAGGAGAGAGATGCTAGCAAAGCTGTTTGTAATAAAAAAAATTCTCTTTAAGGCTGCAGAGCTACTGTAGCTGAGAACCCCAGTCTCAGTCAGTAAACCCTGAGCACCCACAGAGTGTTTATTCACGTTGATATGAGCACTTCTTTCTCCCTATTCGTCAGGTTGTGTGGTCCATTGGTTGGGACTATTCTGGTACTTGGCAGGCCAGAGTTTAATTCCCATCCTGCTATGGGATCTTGGACAAATCACTTCACTGCCTTTATTTCTGTCACCATCTCTTGTAAAGCTCAGTAGGGCAGAGACTGTCCCTTACTATGAGCCTATAACACAAGGAAACTGATCTCAGCTGGGGCCTGGAGATGCTATTGTAGAACAAATAATAATAACAGTTACAGAAAAACCATTTCAGCTCCAGGCCCTTAGTTAACCATTGCCTCCCCATTTTTTATGCCATTATGGTCTTCAAGCAGAGTGTTTTGGTGACACAGGAGGAAGTGTTAGATTTTGTGCTGGTGCCAGATAGTCAGAAGACTTCCTCATCCCCTTAGTTGCCTTCTTGATTTTGCTGCCATAGCTGCCACACCTAAACTTGAAACAGACGTTTCCTCTTTTAACCCACTGAATTTTATTAATAACTTTCTGGATTTCATTAATTCCTTAGACATGGAGAATATTCCCTGGTTTCCTAAGAAGATCTCAGATTTGGATAAATGTGCGAACCGTGTTTTGATGTATGGATCTGAATTGGATGCCGACCATCCAGTAAGTAGTTTCCCTGCTATTTGCAACAATGATTGAAGACAGATCAGTTTTTGCCCTATAAGAGTGGCTCTGTGGTTTTAGTGTATCTCTGGGACTTATTCCTGGTGTCCTGGCTCAGGCATTGCTCTCATTGACCTCAGTTCTGTAAGCTTTGAAAGGGGTTTTGCCTTGGTAGCAACTGCAAGGTTGAGCCATGGATACTCACAGACAAAAGGAATGCAATTTGAACTAGAGTTATTTCCCTCCTAAAGTAACGGTGTAAATGAGGCAAACAAATTAAACTGGGTACAATTTCTCAGATTCAGCCCAATCCATTAAATAATCAATTGACTGTAAGCAAAACTTTGAAAAAGGAATCCCTATCTATAGAATAGAGACATCAAGAATTATGTGCATGAAGTTTCTGATTTCTGTTTTAAATTGGGGGATTTATTTATTTCAAAGACGACATCAGCCAACAGGTTCCTATTTTGACTATTTATTTTCACAGAACATGCTTTTACAATACTTAGTTAACAGGCTTATTAATTACAGAGATGGAAATATGTATTTTTGTCCACACACAGGGTTTCAAAGACAATGTCTACCGTAAGAGGCGCAAGTATTTTGCCGACCTAGCTATGAACTACAAACAGTAAGTATGACTCCTTGCAAAACAAGTTTCCTGCTTTGGAATAATGAGGTGGACAAAATTAGTGTAGTGCACATTTACTAGGCCAGCTGTCCAGGTCTAGCTGAGCTGTGTTTGGTATAGGAACCCAAGTAAGAGGAATACAAAGGTTGATCCAAGCCACCTTACAACTCCTAGGATCTCTAATTGATCTGAGGATCAAATTCTAATTCAAAGGTTTCCAGCTAGAATGGTCCCATAGAGATGGCTCCACCAGCTGAGAATAACTAGACTACAGTGCATTCTGATTGAACTTTCTCTCACTCATCATCACTACCCACCTTGTTTAGGAATATACCTGTAACGGAGAGTGAGGAACACAGAGTACACAGATGGCTATACCAGCTTCATGATTTCCCTGTTAGGACATATCTAGATCACCTTGAATGGTGCAAAAGACATTGAGGTCAGAATGTAGCCTGCTGGGCAATAAATATAAATGAAACAAGAAAACAGTCATTATTCCAGTTTCTGGTCCTAAACAGTGCAGTTTCTATTTCATTGGCTACAGTTTAGAAGTGCACAGAGAAACAAAACTGTAATGGCAGCGGCATACACCAATGGAACCAGCAAGACCAACATCAAACCAATAGTTTGCAGCATTGTTATGTTGACACAGTTATCTTTGGGAGGTTAATTTCTTATGTTTTGTACGCAGGCCCTGAAATTACAACTGGTAGAATGATTCCTATTGCCTTCAATGGGTTTGATGTTAGTCCTCACAATAGTCCAGTTTAATCAAAATCCAAAAGGGTAATGTGAGGTGATAGGCTAGGGTTAGTACATTTTGACAGATGGTCATGGTTTTTTTCTAGAGAATCATGATTTTCACATGGTAAATGCACATTTAATTACTCAGATTTATCATAATGTTGATTGAGCTCATTCTTTTTTCTTTTCCCTTGAAGAAACTGAAAAGGTAATGAAGATTCGTTATACACAGGTTTAGGGAAAAATTACATTCTTAGTCCCTGATCCTGCAAAGATTTATTTAAGGGTTTAACAATTATTCCCAATGTCAAACACACATAGAGCTCTTTGCAAGGTGGGGCATGAGCATCTGAACCAATTCCATTTATCTCAGTGAAAAGATTCTCATTGATTGACTTCAGTGGGAATTGAATCAAACCCTCTTAGACTGTGCCTAACTGGATGGCACAGCAATATAAATGTTATATAATAACAATACTAGATAAATGAGCCATTCAGAGCTGTCTGAGCCATGAATTAATCTTTTTCTTTCTTTCTTTCTTTCTTTCTTTCTTTCTTTCTGTCTGTCTGTCTGTCTGTCTGTCTGTCTGTCTGTCTGTCTGTCTGTCTGTCTGTCTGTCTGTCTGTCTGTCTGTCTGTCTGTCTGTCTGTCTGTCTGTCTGTCTGTCTAGTGGTGACCCAATCCCCAAGATTGAATTCACCGAGGAGGAGATCAAGACTTGGCGCACTGTATTCCGAGAGCTCAACAAGCTCTATCCAACTCATGCCTGCAGAGAGTACCTTAAAAACTTACCCTTACTCACCAAATACTGTGGATACAGAGAAGACAACATCCCCCAGCTGGAAGATATATCACGCTTCCTGAAAGGTAATCTTCTAAATTTTCTGCTGTAGCAATGGGAGCTAAATACCTAGGTGCCTTCGAAAATCCCCTTTGATGCCTATCTGGATCTTCAGGCATCTATAAAACTTCAAAAATCTGCCCTATGCCCTCTGTAAAGCAGAGTCACTAGACAGTAGCATGCTCGCTGCCTCTCTCACTCCATATTGGCGCTCTGGATTATAAACAGTATTTAGCTACTACATGGTGATTTGAGCAATTCCCATAATCCAGTCAATATGGGGCAGAGGTACACATGCACATCGGGGGAAGGCAGACAAACATTATGTAACTTTATAGATAATATTAAATTTTTCTATTGCATTCATTTTAAGGGCACTCTTATGCCCTTTTGTGCCTAAAACAATACCATGGGTATTTATTATCTTATTCTGTGCCACACAACACTATAAAAGGACTTCTACACCCACTGATGTCAGTGGGAGCTTTGGGGGGGTGGGGGGGGAATCACATGGTGTATAAATGACCTGCATGTTGCACTTATAACAAGCACAGAGTTCAGTTTTAAAATAAATATCTGCTCCAAGAAAAGATTCTCTCTCCAAAAGGGAGAGAGATGGTGGGTTTTCTATTGTATAAGAACATAAGAACATAAGAACGGCCGTACTGGGTCAGACCAAAGGTCCATCTAGCCCAGTATCCTGTCTACCGACAATGGCCAGCACCAGGTGCCCCAGAGAGGGTGGACCGAAGACAATGATCAAGCGATTTGTCTCCTGCCATCTCTCTCCAGCCTCTGACAAACAGAGGCCAAGGACACCATTTTATCCCCTGGCTAAGAGCCTTTTATGGACCTAACCTCCATGAATTTATCCAGCTTCTCTTTAAACTCTATTATAGTCCTAGCCTTCACAGTCTCCTCTGGCAAGTAGTTCCATAGGTTGACAACACGCTGGGTGAAGAAGAACTTCCTTTTATTAGTTTTAACCCTGCTACCCATTAATTTAATTTGGTGTCCTCTAGTTCTTCTATTATGGGAACTAATAAATAACTTTTCTTTATCAGCCCTCTCCACACCACTCATGATTTTGTAGCCCTCTATTATATCCCCCCTCAGTCTCCTCTTTTCTAAACTGAAAAGTCCCAGTCTCTTTAGCCTCTCCTCATATGGGACCCGGTCCAAACCCCTAATCATTTTAGTTGCCCTTTTCTGAACCCTTTCCAAGGCCAAAATATCTTTTTTGAGGTGAGGAGACCACATCTGTACACAGTATTCAAGATGTGGGCGTACCATAGTTTTATACAGGGGCAGTAAGATATTCTGGGTCTTATTTTCTATCCCTTTCCTAATAATTCCTAGCATCCTATTTGCCTTTTGGACCGCCGCTGCACTCTGTGTGGAAGTTTCAGAGAACTGTCCACGATAACTCCAAGATCTCTTTCCTGATTTGTCGTAGCCAAATTAGCCCCCATCATACTGTACGTATAGTTGGGGTTATTTTTCCCGATGTGCATTACTTTACACTTATCCACATTAAATTTCATTTGCCATTTTGTTGCCCAATCACTCAGTTTGGTGAGATCTTCTTGGAGTCCCTCACAGTCTGCTTCTGTCTTGTATGAAATCCTTAAATTGAAACTAGTTGTTTCTAGCTCGGTCAGATGTTACAGACTCCATGCAGGAATCATCTGGAGAAATTCTGTGATCTGCATTGTACAGGAGCTCAGATTAGAGGATCATAATGGTCCTTCCTGGCTTTAAAAGGTTTGAGTCTATGAAAGTGAGGGCTCTGTAGTTCTGAACACAATACAGTGAATTAAAAGAGAAAGAGAAAGGAATCATTACACAATGAGACCACATGCTATATGGACACGGACTGGCTAGGGTAAAAGAGTAGGAAACACACAAAGTCAGAGTATGTTGTCAATGGCTACATCTAGACTACAGGCTTCTTTCAAAAGAAGCTTTTTTCGGAAGACATCTTTCGGAAAAACCTCTTCGAAAGAGAGCGTCCACACTGCTAAAGTGCATTGAAAAAGCGTTCTGCTTTTTCGAAAGAGCATGTCCAGACTGAATGGATACTCTCTCATATGTAAGATGTGATTGCTGTTGATGGAGTGGCCACCAGAGCACCTGTGCTTTTTCCTCTTCTTCAAAAATAACTCCTTCTTCCCTGTCCATACAAAAAAGATTGCAAAAAAGATTCTTCCTCATAGAATGAAGATTACCAATGTCGGAAAAACCCCTCTGTTCTTTCTGCTTTCTTGTGGAAGAATGCAACTGTGGGCGTTTTTCTGACAAAACTCTGTAGTGTAAACATACCCAATATCTGGGTAATTTTCAAAATGTGGGAATTTTAATCCTGGTTCACCTCTACTTTTCATCCTTGGCCTTGAGCAAAGCCATGCTGTGGTACTTACCCAAGCAATTAGAGCAGAATCACAGTTTTGAACATTATAAAATTGTACAACACATTGATCTATGATTTATCTATTGCTTTTCAGAGCGCACGGGTTTCACCGTCCGCCCAGTTGCTGGATATTTGTCACCCAGAGATTTCTTGGCAGGCTTAGCATTCAGAGTTTTTCACTGCACTCAGTATATTAGGCACAGCTCGGAACCTCTCTACACCCCAGAGCCGTAAGTTATTTTATTTCTGGGGAGAAGTCAAATATATGCACAAAACTATAGTTTACAGACAAGGTTTTTAAACCTGAGTTCCTAAAGTGAAGCTCCTAAATAAGAATGGCTCAGAAATATTGAGTGTGTGCAGCTCTCACTGATGTTAATGAGGTTTTTGGATGCACAGAGCACCTGCAAACCAGGCAACGCTTTCTTAGAGAAGAGGTTTTCAAAAGTGCCCAGTATTGGCCTAATACTGTCCTGCCAGGAGCCGCACGCTTCTGGCAGGGTGGGAAGAGACTTTGCGTGCCTCCTCACCCCCTGATATGCCTGGGGGTGTAGGAGTGTGCAAGGTTTCCTCTGCCCTGCCCCCACCCTGCAAGGAGTGTGCAGCACTTCCAGGTGTTCCTGGAAGGATGGAAGGAGACTTCACATGCTCCTCACCCCCAAGTCCTAATTGGCCTGGGGGCAGAAGGGGGAGTGAGCAAAGTCTTGTCCCACTGACGGGCCTGGGTGCCTAAGGGGAACTTCTGGCGGGGGGAGGGGGTAAAGGCACTGAGAGTGGTCTGTGAGTGGGGAGGCAGGGAAGTATCCTGGCCCTGCCCCTTCTGGTGTGGCCTGGGGCCACTTCAAAAATTTCTGAAGTGGCCCCTGCAAAAAATTATTGCCCACCCCTGCTCTATATCCTCCTCCTATATGGGTATGGGAGCTTAACTTTAGGCATCCAGGTTGGAAAATTTGGGGCTTTTATTTGTATAGTGTTAATATGATGCAATCTAATAAGAGAAATGTTTTTCTGCCATTTTGATATTACATAATTTTTCAGTGTTCCAAAGAATGTTCTTCTGAGACAGTTGTATTCATTGGATGGTGCTGGTTTTTCACTCCCTCAGCAAGAAAGAATATCACCTTACAGCTTCTTCTTTGTTTCTTTTTCAGTGACACCTGTCACGAGCTCCTGGGTCATGTTCCGCTGTTGGCTGAACCCAGTTTTGCTCAGTTCTCCCAGGAGATTGGTCTGGCATCACTTGGGGCATCAGATGAGGCTGTTCAAAAACTGGCAACAGTAAGTGTCCCAGTCTCTGCTGGTGATAATCCTACTTGAATGTCACAGAATTTTACAGGGTTGATCTCACTCCCCTTGAAGTAACTGGAAGATTTATCATTCATTATCAGCAGAAGCAAATCATTCACTCTTGTCCATGTCAGTAGCTCTAAACCTTTTATTTGCTGTAACTCCATGATAGAACAGTTGTGATATGCAGTGAATGCTATTCTCCATCTAGCCATAAAGTAAGGGTCTCTGAGGATCATAACCTCCAGATTGAGAACCCAAGGTCTGTGTCTTCTAACTCCAAGTCTTTCTAATTCTGGGGTGATAAGTCAGTAATTTCTACAATAATTTCCACAGCTCTGACTGATCTCATTTATCGGTTTAAAAAAAATACAGTCACTTCCTGTGCTTCTGTTAAGCTGCCTCGTGACCAATTCAATGGATGGCTCAGTGCATTTGTATGGCAGGATTAGAGCTCAGTGCTTCTGTTGAGATCAACCATCTCTGTGATAAAGTGAGCCTGGGGTGTGGAATAGTAGCACCATCACTTCTCAGAGCTATCCAGCTCAATGATCCTTTATCTTTCTCATTCTGGTCCAACTTTCATTTAGCAAAATGGGAAAAACTGGTAGTTGGGACCCTCTGACATTTGTTCAAGACACCTTTGGGGGTTGTTACACACTGCTTGATAACCTTTCGTTTAGTTTGCTTGACTCTCAAAATCTGCAGCACCATTTGTTGCATCTGTGTTGAAGACCGATTCGTCCCCACCTTCCACCATTTTAATTCTTTTTTTGTTTCCCTTCTGTATCAGTGCTACTTCTTCACTGTGGAGTTTGGTTTGTGTAAGCAAGAGGGACAGCTAAGAGTCTATGGGGCTGGTTTACTTTCTTCCATCAGTGAGCTCAAGGTAAGAAGAGGAAAACATTCCCCTGTTTTCTGCCACCTTTCTTCATTCTCGCCTGATTTTTTTGGTAGTTTTGCCAAAATATTGGGTGGACTGAGTAGCTATCACCATTAGAAAATGTGAATTATAAATTTTAATTTAGAAAGTGTGAATTGAAGCAGCATATATTTAGGTAGCATTTATTCTGAAAACTCCTACAGCCAGATTTTTAAAGGCATTTAACGGTATTAATTCAGTGGGAATTTGGCACCTAAATACCTTTAAAAATCTTGCTCCTCTAGGGTTGATTCTGAATAAGTGAAAAAGCATGGAACTAATAATTGGAATTTGTGTTTTTTGGTGTGTGCTGAGCCCTATTGCTCCCAGTGGTTTTTGATGGAGTTGAAGGCTCCCTGCATTTCTTAGAATCTAAATCCTAAATAGATGTGTGTTAAGCATAAGGCTGTGCTTGCCAGACTAGATTCTGTTGCTATTGTTTTCAGTAATGCTGGCTTCAGAGTTCAAGTATGTTGACATACTCACATAACAAGATACTACTTGTAAGGGGGACAGTACTTTTTGAGGGTGTCCAGTTTCCTATGGGTTAGCTGATACTAATCTGCAGATAGAATTCTTAAATAAAAGATTATGTTGTACAGAGATTTAATTTATGGTATCATTTCATCCTCTTTAACACACTGTTTATATCCTCTGTTTTTTCCTTTGGACTCTTTTGGTGCTGATACTATTATGACGTGATAATATTAATATCTTTATTTCATTTTTTGTCTACTACCAGCATGCTCTTTCTGGCAATGCCAAAGTCAAGCCCTTCGATCCAAAGGTGACCTGCAAGCAAGAATGCATCATCACAACTTTCCAGGATGTCTACTTTGTTTCTGAAAGTTTTGAAGAAGCAAAGGAAAAGATGAGGTATAACTTGTTTAATCTTGGTTCTTACTAAGCCAGGTTTATTCTAATGTATGTGCCAGAAAAAAAAAAATCCTTTACTTTTTAATCATCATGCTGGGTTTTTAGCTTCCATTTGGCTGGAAAGCAGCTATTCAAGATTTCCTTTCTCCCCTGTATTATTATTATTAATTAACTGATGTGGTATCTGAACACATCACACGTAACAGAAAACATGTCTATAAATGCCCCCACAGGGCAACAATGTTATTTCTGTCCCTGTTATCTATCCCTCTAATGGGAAAAATCTGAGGAAGAGAAAAAATAAAAGACAAAGCTTTAGTTTAGAGCCATCTAGTAAAAGTAGGGCCATAAAGATTAGTTTGGAACCAAGCTCTGAAAGCGAACAGGCCTGAGGTCTGATAGACTAAGTATCACTGTCAGGGAGCCTCCATTGAGAATGAGTGTACCATTTGGGTCCTGCCAGCAAAAGCATCTTGCTGATCTCAGCTGTCATAATGGGGTGGAATTCTCCCCTGTGTAGAGGAACAGCACAAGGCCCAAACACCCTCTGAGTTCCATTTTGTGGGCTTAAGGAGGACATAATTTTGCATAAGGCTTTTCTTGGCTCTCCATACAGAGGAAAATGTCACAAGATGGGACATGATAAAATAAAATAGTTTCTAAAGTAGCTAAGTTCCAAACAATATTGGTGTTGACAGTTCAAACTGTTGTTTTTAACCTAACACAGAAAATCATGTGGTAGTTAATATAGTGAGGAGCACAGGTGTAACGTGCTCAGACTGTGCACCTCTGCTATGAGCTGGGAAGTGTGAGTCCCAGTTTGAGTATATTTACCCACACTATTCTGCCTGGGATAGCACCTAAAAATAGCAGTGCATCTGTCATAGCATGGACGGAGTTGTGACTCGGACCAGCCACCTGAGTACACATGGGCACCAGATGGGATTGTACCCAGATTGGCTAACCTGAAAAAAAAGCTGCAGAATGGCTCTTGTGCAAGAGTGGGGTTTTTTTGTGTTAAAAGGAGCTGTGTAGATGGCTCCTTTTTGCACAAAAGCCCCTTGTGCAAAAATGGAAGCTAATTAAGTATGCAAACGAGGCACAGCGATATTCACCACTTCACCTCATTTGCATATTTTCTTGCACAAGAAAAGGCAGTGTAGCCATAGTTGATGAAAGTGATATCTGCTCTAAACAGCAGGTGAAATACTGCTTTCAGTTACACCAATGTAAATCTAAAGTAAGTCAGCTGATTTCAAAAGGCCTGATTCTCATCTCCCTTACACTGGTTTTATATGTGTTATACCATTAACTTCAGTGGAATTATTCTGAACCCACACAGAAAACAGTAATATAAGTGCAGAATGTAGCCAATAATTTCTCCAGTGATATAATGTAGTGACAAAGTAGATGAGTTATTGAAGATCTATTTTTAGCAAGTGCTTATGCAATTTGGTCCAGTTTAACCAAAGCATGTGAAAAGTTGTTGCCCACTAGACAGGGTGTTCAACTAGGACTCTGGAGACTGGAGTTCAATTCTGGCTCTGTCACTGACATTCTGGGTGACCACGGACAAGTCACTTTTCTGCAATGTGCCCCAGTTTTTCCTTCTGTAAAATGGGAATAAGAATGCTGACCTCTTTTATAAAGTGCTTTGAAATCTACTGACAAAAACATTCTATATGAGGTAGGAATTTTGGAGCAGAAACATAGTTTAACTAATGGGGTACTGATGCTGTCTGCTCCCAGGGCATGTCTACACTAGGAAATTATTTTAAAATAACTAAATTTGAAATAATAACTCCCAAAATAACTATTTTGAAATAGCTTGTTCACACTATAGGGAAGCTTCAAAATTAGTCTGAGGCAGGCTCTCTTAATGTGGATGTGCTACCTTGACTTAGAGCCCCAGGAAGCACTGGGAAGTAATTACTTTGAATGATGCCAGAGAGTAGTTATTTTGAAATAGTTGCAGTGGAGCGTCCACACAACCGCTATTTTGAAACAACTATTTTGAAATAAGCATTATTCCTCATGGAAAACAAGAGTTGTTATTTTGAAATAACCAGCCCTTTATTTCAAAATAACAGGCTTGGAAGTGTGGATGTTCCACTTGTTATTTTGAAATAAGGGGAGTTGTTATTTCGAAATAACTCCCTAGTGTAGACCAGGGCTTGGACAAAGCATGGTGATTAGCTCAGGGACACATTTGGCTTTGAACTGATTTAATCTGAAACGCTCTCTTTTTTGTTTCAACAGAGAGTTTGCAAAAACAATCAAGCGCCCATTTGGAGTAAAGTACAACCCTTACACACAAAGCATGCAGATCCTAAAAGACACCAAGAGCATCGCCAGCATGGTGAATGAGCTGCGTCATGACCTGGATATCATCAATGATGCCCTCAACAAAATGGGCAAGGAACTGGGCATCTAACATGGCCAATAATCATCAGCACTTTGCACTCATCATCTCTGTTGATTTTTCCTGTTCTAGGCCTGAAGATACCTGTTAGGTGCTATACATAGAAACCTCCTTTCTAATAAGAGAAGAATGAATGACTAGTGGAGATAGTTACTTTAAAGTTAATGTTTCTCTACTTAACACACTTTGACCTTGCAAAATGTTTGTGACCCCTCTAAATTCTCCCCTGCCCCAAACCAATCAGGAAATAAATGGGGTGCATTCATCCTTGAGAAATCATCACACTGGATCAGAACAGTGGTCTAGTCTAGTATCCTGACAGTAGCCAGGGCCAGCTGCATCAGAGGAAGGTGCAGGAAACTCTGTGGTAGACAGCAATTAGATAATTTACCCCAGGGAAAATTTTCCTCATAATTCCCAACACTATGAAGTTGGTTTATGACAAATCCTGGCTTAGGGCCTTCAGTACCTCAAAGTTCACTAGGAGAAAGTTGCCTTCCCCCCAGTTGGAGGAGCATACTGATCTGGGAAATGATGTGACTGGGAGATGTACTGATTCTGAATATTCCTATCCAGTGGTTGCCTCTCTTTGCAACATAAAGCTGCTGAATGCAATCCTGACTCCACTGAAGTCAAGGGGAACTTTGTTATTGACTTTAATGGGGACAAGATTTCACCTACTTGTCCCTGGAGTAGCATTTGAGGGTGGGCAATATGGGTAACATCACGTGCCCTCTGCCGTATGGAACGAATCCTTCCAAGATCACAGCAAGCCTTGCTAGTACAGGGAGCTGCAGTTTATACCTCTCTACGCCAGCTGTGGAGAACATAGACCAATGTCTAAAAACATTTTGAAATGGCATTTCAGTATCCACCATAGTATCATTACAAAGGTGAGGAAGCCCAGTTCTTTCAAATAGCCATTGTCTAATATGAGTTTACATGGAAAATAAAAGTCCCCCTGATTATTCATTCTCATCATTGATCTTTCAAAACGTGAAGTGATACATCCCAGTTCTCTTCTGTAGGGCCTGCTCCTGAGGGACACTGAACAGCTTCCCATTGAGGCCAATGGGACTTAAGGGATCTGTTTGTGGCAAGATGAATCCCTAAGTCTTTGTAGCTCATAGTTATGTTCAAATATACTGTAATGAAAAAGAAATCTGTTATCTTCTGAATAGCATTCTGCTGATGTGGAAAGCAAAGTCATGTTGAATTGGTAACATTAAACAGTAGTGAGCTCTCCAGTTTTGTGAGCATTCAAGCACTGATGTCAAAGGCAAAACTCCCATTGATTTAAATGCAACTAGAATTTCATCCTTGGATTCCTAAGAACAGAGAGTAAGTAAGGTTTAAATATCATGAATGGTCCTACTGGCCCTCTGCACAGTGGTGAATTTTATCCCAATAGACTATAAGGGCCATATACATAATGAACAGCCTAAAATATTCTGTATTAAGAGAGACCCAATTTTTGGATTTTTTCCTTTTTAAAATGAAATTTGGAGGGTTAATACTCTTTTTACTAGCATGAGATTACTCCTATAATTTTTTTCTTTTACATTTAGGACAGTCAGACTATATATTTTTATAAAAATTAGCTTTGCATCTTAAAATAGTCTTTGGGAACTTCATGTTTTTAACGAAGAATCTATTCAGTTTAAATAAGTGATTAATGTGGATTGATTTTGTTTGCTTGTGTAGTAATGGTTAGAGCTAAGGTTTTTTTTAAGTATAGGATTTGTAAATTTTCAGATTTTGTTTGCTTGTGTAGTAATGGTTAGAGCTAAGTTTTTTTTTAAGTATAGGATTTTTAAAATTTCAGATAATAAGCAGAAGATGTGATAAGCGGTACTTCAAATCTTAAATCTGTATTGTGTAAAATTTCAATAGAAAACATTGGACCTATTAATGTCTGCTTAGTACCTAGATTTAATAATTCTGGTGTTATTCTGTGAAGAGGAAATTCTGTCTATATTATATGGTACAAATATAGGAAACAAAATGTTAAGAGTAAAATATTAAAGTGATGTTTTTTCAGAGAATAACATAATTTATATTTGGTTTTTATCATGCCAAACCTGCTGACTATGTAAAACATTAATATAGACAGTTTAATGATGATAAAATGAAAACTACTGAATTGTTAAGATGAAAATCAATGTATAACCAAAAACTACTAACTCTACAGCCTAGCAATAAACATGTTTACTTGTGATTTATGGAGTTTCATCTTTAATGGAACAATTCAGTTACTCTGGATGCTGTATGGCCTGCAGATATACATGTATGACTCCCACTGACACCACAGGAAGCTATACATATTTATCTGAGCAGGGAATTGCCTCTCCTTTTGTTTTGTAGGCTCAGTCTTGATCCCATAGACAGACCTAGGTTATAGAATTGGTTTCTTAGGACCTGATTCTGCATGAAGGTCCCTGCAGATATACCCACTGCCTTTAGTGTGTTTCTGCATTGACTTAGGGGTCCATCCATGGGGTATTGATTCCAGGATTGGGTCCTGCGGCTGTAAACTTTCTGACAAATGGACTGTGATGATCTGTGCATGTGGACAGCACCTAATGTGTACTATTGAAGTACAAATAATAATACTATACAAGGTTTGCCACTGCCTTTTAATAGAGACAAAAAAACAGACCTCTTATACATCAGGGGCCTCTCCAAAGCATTATTCTTTGTTTAGCTATTTACACTTGGGCAAAATGAATGTAAAAAAATCCCTACCACAAAGTTTGGTGGCATTTTACACAGGTATAAATTATACACTAAATGCTCTGCATTTTTAACACGATAGACTGGTACAAACATGCTGTTCTGAGATACTTCCTATTGTCTTTTAGTCTTGGTGCCCATGAATCCAAGAAATGTCAGTGCCTGATGCTGTCACAAATAGGTAAATAAGGCTATGTCTAGATAAGGGCAATATTTTGGGACACCGGAAGTATCCTGAAATAGCTATCCCACATCTTTAAACACGCCCTTATTTTGAAATATATTTAGAAATAACAGGTGTGATATTCTGGCATCCCTGTGACCTTCATTCCATGAGGGTTAAGGGACTTGTTGGAACAGCACTTTATTTCGAAATTACCTCGAAATAATCTACACAATTTGCATAGTGCGAATTGCGTAGTTTATATTAAGGTAAGAGTGCAGTGTAGACGCACCCTAAAATAGCACATAAACAAGAAACATATTTTAGATATGGGCCATATATGTGGGACCCTACTGAAATTAGAAGTTTTGCCAAAGGCTTCAGTGGGAGCAGTACTGCAAACTAATCTGCATCAATTGGTAACTCTTGAATGAATATGCTGTAAATACTTGTTTTAATAGCATCTGATTTCTATCCATATTTTCAAAGTGGAAATGCATATAATAAACACTCAAATTGGATAAAATTCACCCATAGACAGTGGGATTGTACAAAGCATATGCATTGCATACATTTCATTTAAACTCTGTACGGATGCCATATTGGTATTTAAATGGTGATTAGGCCTAGTTCTGCTCCACTGGAGTGAATTTCTCCCCACTGTGAATGTACATGCTTCACAGTGAATGGGAATCGTCCTGTTTAGTCCCCATTTCAAATTCTGCAGCCAGTGATTTTATTCTTATTTTGTTATTGTTATCACGAACACATTATCATCATCATTATTATTATGGTCCCATAAACACAAGTGATAGCCAAGAAGGGCACATTAGGATGGATCCTTTTCCTGGATTCCCTAAATCATCAGGTTGACCCTCTCCATGCTATGCCATGGAGGGATGTAATAGGGAACATATTTTGTGTTTTTGTGCCCAAGAGATGCAAAGACCCTTGGTTTGCCTCTAGGAGGTGAATGGATTTCAGTGCAGGGCAGCTAAAATATGGAGCAAAACAGTTACAGTAGCATAATAAACTTGTAAAACAACCAGTAGCCCTATGACATCTTTAGAGACTAACACAAATATATAGCATCATGAGCTTTTGTGGGTAAAACCCCCTTCATTAGATGTCTCCAGCTCATCATCTGATGAAGTAGGTTTTACCTATGAAAGCCCATGATTATATATATATATATATATACATATACATATATATATGTATATATATAAAGGTGCTACAGGACTACTTGTTTTTAAAGTTACAGACTAAGATGACTACCCTTCTGAGGCAAAATACATTTGTGTTTATGTGGAGGCATAAATCCAGAAGTGAGCAGGAATTTGGTCCTCTGTAGGTAAACTATAGTCTGAGAAAAACAACCAACAGATTGGCACTATGCTGGAATGTCATGCTCAAAGCATTTAAATAATAGGAAAGGTTTAGCAGAATCTGAATTGTTTTTTATTTGGGCTATACCACAAAAACAGTTCACCTAAGAAATTGCAGAAAACAAAGCATATAATACTATCTCAACATGCAATTAATTCGTAGGTGACGATTTACTTATTTGGTAGGATGGGGCCCTGGTTGTGCCAGGCACTGTACACACATAAAACAAAGGGACAGGCCCTGCCCTAAAGAGCTTACAGTCTATTACTCATTTGACAGACATTTTGATAGTATCCTTGCAAATACAAAACTGTGGGCAAGTGTTAAGTTTCAGTTACTTGCAAAAGCCACATGACACCCAATGCAGTGGCTATTTCTGTATCTAGATAAATAAACCACCATAACGATCTTAATTTTTTTTTACAATCCCATGTATATGATTGCAACCGCCTCTTGTTTAAAGAGCCTTATCAGGGCCGCAGCCAGGCACGTGAAAGGCAGGGAACGCCCCAGACCGAAGGTGGCTGTGGTTTAATTAGGAAGGCGCGGGGGGTGGGGGGAGAGAGAGACACACACATGGAGTCCCAGGCATGAATGGCACCACCCTACACCACCATTCGGCCCGCGCGAGACC